AAAAAAAAAAAAAAAAGGCAAAAATTAGAAAATCATGAGGTGCGCTTGTGCGCCGCATGAAATCACTAGTTCTCAGGAGCCGTGAATGTGTCTTCTGAAGTCCTGCTTCCTTGCCTCTCCTGGATTAGAGGGAGAGGGGATTATTAACAAAATAGAAGGAAAGGAGGGTCTGAAAGCCCAGAAAATGCTTTACTTTAAAAAATTTTAAAAAGGAAAAATTACACAAAAATGAGAAGACAGAGACAGAGGTAGACAGAGACGGGAGGCTGGAAAGTCTACCACTTGAGTTTGTGGGCTGGAGGCTGAATTGGTCGAAAATCTTCATTTCGCTTATTTCCCTGAAATCACTAGTTCTCAGGAGCCATGAAGGTGTCTTCTGAAGTCCTGCTCCCTTGCCTCTCTATTTGAGTTTGTGGGCTAGAGGCTGAATTATCAGTGGAAAATCTTCATTTGGTTTATTCTCCTGAAATCACTAGTTCTCAGGAGCCATGAAGGTGTCTTCTGAAGTCCTGCTCCCTTGCCTCTCCTGGGTTGGGAAGGGGTTAGGGGATTATTAACAAGATAAAGGGAAGGGAGGGGCTGAAAGTCAAGAAAATGCTTTGCCTTGGGACCAGCAGGTGGTGTGGTGGTTAAGGTGCTGGACACTCCCACCTGGCCCACCACAGTTCAAGTCTCGGACCTGGTGGCTTGCTTTCTCACTTTCCCTCTATCTCGCTCTGTGTCTCTCTGGTCAAACCAAAAATAAATGAATGAATAAATTTTTAAAAATAAATAATTTTTAAAAAAAATGCTTTACCTTAATTTTTTTTTTTTAGAGGTTTTTACTATAGGGCGTGTGGACTCGCCAGACAGACAGACAGAAAGTGAGAAATCACCCCCCGGGGGGGATGGCCACGCCGCAATCCCTTCTCCTCCTTTTTCCTCTCGGGATCTTGGGTACACACGCACATGCGCCCGGCGTGAGTTTTAAGCCACCGGGTCCAGGACACGAACCACGGTCGACTACGTGGGAGTCCAGCGACATAGCCATTACGCTGCTGGTCCCTACCTTAAAAATTTTTAAACCCTTGCAAATTATTGGGTCATTGCAAAAGTCATGACATATTTTTCTGTGTATTTCTATTCAAAAATTAGTTAATGACTTTTTTTTTTTTTTGAGAAGTTTTTGCTATAGGGTGCATGTGCTTGCTAGAAAGACAAAGAGACAGTGAGAAATCACCCCCCAGGGGGGATGGCCACGCCGCAATCCCTTCTCCATTCTCCTCTTGGGATCTTGGGCACACACGCACATGCACCCAGAGTGAGTTTAAGCCACCAGGTCCAGGGCTCGAAACACAGTCGACTGCATGGGAGTCCAGTGACATAGCCGTTACGTCAACCTCTGGTCCTGAGTTATGACTTTCCTGATGATTCAAAAACAAAAACAAAATGATTGTGGGGGCCAGTTTATTTTAAGTGTGTATATTTTTTTCATGAGAGAGAGAACGAGCGCATGAGCAGTCCCAGTAGGGGCTCAGTGCTTAATCTGCCCCCCAGCCTCAGCCAGTAGGATCATGGGCAGCTGAGTGGTCAGCATACTCAGGGAGATCTTTGGATGTATACTGGGAACCTTCCCTCCCAGAACATCTGTATTTTACTGCTTTGTCGCTGTGTGGCCCTCTAAAGTTTATTAAATAGTTGACTATCTCTAGTTTCTTCAAAGGTCAATAAATACACCCTCTTAGGTCAATATAATGCTAGATTTTTATACATCTTTTTTGTGACATAAAAACTGTAAAGTAAAACTTGAGCTTATTTGAATTTTTGTAATTTTGGTCATGTTATTTTATTCTTTCTAGTGCATCTTTCCTTTGGGCTTTAAATCACTTAATAATTTAATTTCTCCTGATTCAGAAGATTGTCACAGTCCAAGTAAGCCTCAAAAAAGAAAGATCTTGGAAACCAGCTGTGAAGATTTACTTCTTTTAGCAAATTCTAAAAAGACTAGAAATCATACTGTTACTGATGGTGAGCAGATTTTGGACAGCAAACAAAAGGGGAAAGTATATGATGAAAACTCATCAAACTTACCTGACAGTAATAGTCAGCAGAATCCTGTTAGGACAGATGATTCCTCGGAGCAGGATGGGATTTTGGAAACTGATGTTGACTTGCCTACTGAAAAAGATCCTGCTACAGTTGATGTCTCTGGAACTTGGGGAACTTCCTCTCAAAATGAAGGATGTACATCTGAACTGGAAATGCCATTGGTCAGCAAACGTAAATCATTTCCCCAGACTTTACATGTTCAGTGGAAAAATGCTCATGCGCTCTGCTGGCTAGACTGCATCCTGTCAGCTTTGGTGCACTCTGAAAGGTTAAAGAGCACTGTGACTGAACTGAGCTTGAAGGAAGAATCTGTATTCTGGCAGTTGTTTACAAAATATAATCAAGCAAGTAAGCTTCTGAACACTAATCAGTTGGATGAAGTTACAGGTTGGTACTAATGCTTTGTTTCTCTAATGTTTAGAGATGGTAATGGTAAGTTTTATCTCATAGCAGGAAAAAGATGCCATCAGCAGCTTCTGTTTCATGTAGGGACCTGGGACCAGGGAGTCCAGGGACACTATCTTGAAACTTGAAATAACACCAGTTACATTAACATGACTGCTCAAAGGACCTTTTTTCAAGAAAGTAAAGGAGAAACAGGATGTGGCCATATTTTAGCCTCTCAGGGTAGTAGTTGTCAAGACAAGAGTCTAACAAAGTAAAATTGTAGTAGCCTTTTTTTTTTTTTTTTTTAAGAATTTTATTTAACGTTACTCATTTATGTATGTATGTATGTATGTACATATGTATTTAAATTTGACTAGAGAGGGGCAGAATGAGAGAGAGAGAGAGGGGAGAGAAAAGAGAGAGAGATGAGAAAGCAAGCCACCAGGTCCGGGACTCAAATGTGGGAGTCCAGCACCTTTAACCACCATGCCGCCCGCCAGCCCTTGTTTTTTTTTTTTTTTTTAAAGAATTATTTTAACTTTATTTACTTACTTATTTAAATTTGACCAGAGAGGGACAGAGGGAGAGTGAGAGGAGTGAGAGAGCAAGGGTAGTGAGAAAGCAAACCACCAGGTCTGAGACTTAACCATGGAGGGCCATGTGGGAGTCCAGTGCCCTTAAACACCACACCAACCAGCCAGCCCCAAATTTGTAGGTTTTTAAACTACCAAAAGGCAGACTGAGTAAGTAAAACTTATCCACAACCCTCCAAGACCTGGCTTGACAATGAGGACTATATTTTGTGTGTGTTTTTATTCTTTCTATGAAATAGGATGTATGAACTCACCTCTCAGTCTAAGAATGAAAACATTCCCAGTAACATACATCTCCCTATGTATCATCCTGTCTCATTCCCCACTGGCCCCCAAAGGTTGTTATTATTCTGAAATGTGTTTTATCATTCCTTCTTTCATTTTTAAGTTTGTTTATTTCTTTAATAGATAGGTACCCATGAAAGGGTCTTGCTATACTATGATTTATTTATTTATTTTACAGGGATTTTTGTTACAGAGTATGTGTGCTTGCCAAAGAGACAGAGAAAAAGTGAAAAATCACTCCCTAGGAGGGATGACTGTGCCTCAGTCCCTTCTCCATTCTCCATTCTCTTCTCAGGATCTTGGGCATGCACACATATGCACCCACTGTGTTTAAACCGCCTCTTGGGCATGCACACATATGCACCCAGGGTGTTTTAAACCGCTGGGTCTGGGGCTTGAACCACTGTCGACGTAACCATTGCGCCATCTGCTGGTCCTGTCATGCTAGGATTTAAACCACCCCTCCAACTCCCCAAACATGCAGCCTCCCAGCCAGCCAGGATCACAGGCATACTCAGGTTGACTAGAATCTATACCTGGGCCTCCTTTGTGACTCCAGTATTGCCAGCAATGCTCTGCCACCTGTGCCACCACAGTTTTTCTTAAATATGTATGGCTAAACAATATATTGTTGCATTGAGCGTGTTCTGAACTTTATAAAAAGTGTGGTGTGGGAACCAGCAGTTAGCGTAATGGCTATGTCGCTGGATTCCCACGTAGTCGACCGCGGTTTGCGTATCGGACCCGGTGGCTTAAAACTCACGCTGGGCGCGTGTGCGTGCGTGCCCAAGATCCCGAGAGGAGAATGGAGGAGAAGGGATTGCGGCGTGACCATCCCC